CCTCCGTCCCACTGGAGCACCCACACCCACAGGCCCAGCGACCCTTACCAGCCCAGGAGCCACATCCACCGTGAAAACCTCGCTGACTCCCACCACCCATGTTTCCACAGAATCTCTCACGACAGATATTACTTCTACTCCCCTGATCACCTACTCAACCACTCCTACATATACAGTGACTCCTCGGCCCACCTCCAGCTCCCCTCCCACCACCACCACCGTTTTAACATCAACTACCAGTACGACTGCATCTTCTACACCTGTTGCAAGCACAGAACCAGTCACCAGTGGGACCACGCAGACATTCAGCACCCCTCAGTCTACCTTGCTTACCATACACCCTACTACAAACACCAGGTTGACACCTACAACGGAGACCACCTACCCCAACCTTCCCTCTATCCCTGTCACACACTCCACCACTGACATGACCTCTACCACCACTGTGACAGACACTAAATCCACTACAACCTCTCTCACAGCCTCGTCTCTGTCTGTCCCAACCACAGAAACAGTGAAGACTGCTACCACACACTCAGTCACAGCAGTGACCCTGTCTACCCCACATAGCACTCCCAGCTTCACTTCCTCAGACGTCTACACCACAGTCAGCAAGGTCACCACTCCCAGCACCTCAACTACCACTACAGGGAGCACCGTGGTCCACTTACCACAATGGGCCCCTTCTACTCTCAGGCATGTCTGTACTCAGAGTAGATGCAGTCACTGTTGTGGAGGTCAGCAGGGTGCTCGAGGTAGTGGTAGGTGAGGTGATGGCAGTGGTGGACTTGCTGACTGTGGAGTAGATGTCCGAGGAAGTGAAGCTGGGAGTGATATGTGGGGTCGACAGGGTCACTGCTGTGACTGAGTGTGTGGTAGCCGTCTTCACTGTTTCTGTGGTTGGGAGAGACCTCGATGACAGTGTAAGAGCCATGGTAGTGGATTTTATGTCTGTCACAGTGGTAGTAGAGGGGACGTCAGTGGTGGAGTGTGTGACAGTGCTGGTGGGAGTGTTGGGGTAGGTGGTCTCCGATGTAGGTATCAACCTGGTGTTTGTAGTAGGGTGTGTGGTAAGCAAGGTAGACTGAGGGGTGGTGAATGTCTGCGTGGTCCCGCTGGTGACGGGCTCTGTGCTTGGAACAGGTGTAGAAGATGCAGTCGTACTGGTAGTTGATGTTAAAACGGTGGTGGTAGTGGGAGGAGAGCTGGTGGTGGCCCGGGAAGTCACTGTATTTGTAGGAGTGGTTGAATAGGTGATGGGGGCAGTAGAAGTAATATCTGTCGTGAGAGATTCTGTGGAAACATGGGTGGTGGGGGTCAGTGAAGTTTTCACGGTGGATGTGGCTCTTTGGCTGGTGAGGGTCGCTGGGCCTGTGGGTGTGGGTGCTCCAGTGGACAGAGGTTTTTCCGCAGTTGTGGGTGTTGTGAGTGTGTTGGTGGTGGTGAGTGAGGGGATGGATCCAGCTGTTGTCTGCAGTGTGTGTGTGGTGGCTAAGGTAGAGGTTACCGTCTGTGTAGCAGTGGTGCTGTCAGTGGTGGAAGAAGGGAATGCAGAGGTGACTGGAATTTCCGTAGTGAGAGAAGTTGTCCGGGGGTTCTCAGTACTTGTGAGAGTAGTTGTCACAGTGGGAGTTGTGGTGGGGCTTGTGCTAACAAGGGATGTGATTTCTGTATTCTGGACAGTTGGAGATGATGGGCTGATGTTTGTGAAGGTTGCTGAGGTACTGGGAACAGTGGGTGTTGAGGTGAGGTCTGTCAACATAGTCAATACACCTGTGGTGCCCTGGGATGAGGGGGTGATAGTTGTCAGTGTTGGGGTAGGAATATCTGAACTCAGAGTAGAAGGGGTCACCATTGTGGAAGTGACCATGGTGCTCCCTGTAGTGGTAGGTGAGGTGATGGCAGTGGTGGCCATGCTGACTGTGGAGTAGACATCTGAGGAAGTGAAGCTGGGAATGCTATGTGGGGTGGACAGGGTCACCTCTGTCACCGAGTGTGATGTAGCAGTCTTTGCTGTTTCTGTCGTTGGGAGAGAGGGAGACGAGGGTTTGAGAGAGGTTGTGGTGGATTCAGTGTCTGTCACAGTGGTGATAGAGGTGACGTCAGTGGTGGAGTGTGTGACAGTGCTGGTGGGAGCGTTGGGGTAGGTGGTCTCCGATGTAGGTGTCGACCTGGTGTTTGTAGTAGGGTGTGTGGTAAGCAAGGTAGACTGAGGGGTGGTGAATGTTTGCATGGTCCCGCTGGTGAGCAGTTCTGTGCTTGGAACAGGTGCAGAAGATGCAGTCATACTGGTAGGTGATGTCAAAACGTTGGTGGTTGTGGGAGGAGAGCTTGTGGTGGTCCTGAAAGTCACTGTATTTGTAGGAGTGGTTGAGTAGGTTTTGGGGGAAGTAGAAGTAATATCTGTTGTGTGAGATTCTGTGGAAACATGGGTGGTGGGAGTCAGGGCGGTTTTCACGGTGGATGTGGCTCTAGGGCTGGTGAGGGTCGCCGGGCCTGTGGGTGTGGGTGCTCCAGTGGACGGAGGTTTTTCCGTGGTTGTTGGTGATGTGAGTGTGTTGGTGGTGGTGAGTGTAGGGATGGATCCAGCTGTTGTGTGTAGTGTGTTTGTGGTGGCCGAAGTTGAGGAGACAGTCTCTGTGGGAGTAGTGCTGTCAGCCTTGGAAGAGGGGAATGCAGAAGTGATTGGAATTTCCGTAGTGAGAGAAGTTGTCGGGAGGTTCTCAGTACTTGTGAGAGTAGTTGTCACAGTGGGAGTTGTGGTTGGGCTTGTGCTAACAAGGGATGTGATTTCTGTATTCTGGGTAGGAGGAGATGATGGGCTGATATTTGTGAAGGTTGCTGAGGTACTGGGAACAGTAGGTGTTGAGCTCAGGTCTGTGATTGTAGTCCGTGTATTAGTGGTCCTCAGAGATGTGGGGGTGACTGGTGGTGTTATTACAGGAATGTTTGTGCCAGAAGTCTGTGTGATTTGGGTTGTGGATGTCTCCCGGATAATCAAGGTTGTTGCAGCTGAGGTTAGGGCAGAGGGTGAGATTTTTGTAGATGCAGAAGACGGAAGCCCACCAGTGGGTATCGTTAAGGTGCTGGTTGTCATAGGGGTAGAGCTGTTGGCTGTGGAAGAACTCCCACTATTGGTGGGTGTGGTTGATGAAATGAAGGGGGAAGTAGGTGTGAGTTCCGGGGTGAGAGTTTTTCGAGTGTCAGTTGTGGACGTAGCAGGTGTTGTTAGTACCCTTGTAGAGGTGGTAGAGTGGGTTGTGATAGTTTCTGTTTTCAATGTCCCACTGGTGTTAGGAAATGAAGTTGGAATCATGGCCGTTGTGGTCAGGGTGGTCCTGGTGGTAGGTGAGGATCTGTCATTAGTTCCTGTTGTTAAGAAGGGTTTTATAGTATCTAGAGAAGAGGTAGTGGCAGAGACAGGAGTAATTTCTGGGGTAGGGGACTTGGTTGTATGGACACCTGCAGGGGTCAGGGTCGTCCTTCTTGTGGTTCCAGTTGCAGAGGAAATCATGGTGTGGAGGGTCGTGGCCGTGGCTGTGGCAGAGGAGGAGGGTGGGGCTGTGGCAGTGCTGGTGGTGAGAGAAGATGTGACGGCTGAGGTCACTTTCTCAGTGGTGGTAATAGGGGAAGTGCTGGTGACGGTTGTGGCTGGCCTCTGTGTCACGGGACTGGAGGTGTAAGAGCTGGTGAAGGACGCCTGGGTCACAGTCACACAGGTGGTGGTGGGGTAGGAGGTGGTGACTATGAAACTCGTTGGATATACGCACTCTGTGGTGGCTGCATAGACAAAGACGGTGGGTGGGGTGGTTTCAACCTTGAAGACAAACTTGGACGGGGGGATTGTTGAGGTGTTGGAACGGATGGGAGATTTGATCAGTGTCTCAGGAATGGGCTTATCATGAGGGGAGGTGGTGAGAGGGGTGGGTGTGTTTTCCTTATTGCCAGGAGTGGGAGAGGAGGGCGGGGGGGAACTGAGTACAGTGTGGGCTGCATCTGTCCTGGGGGGAAGTGCATGGGAGGTGGCCGTGGCCGTGGATAAGGTTCCTGTAGTGATGGGAGAACAGAGGAATGCACTGGTGAATCTGCAGGCCATCATGTCACAGCACACCACACAGGTTACCCATCATCCCACGTTACAGACACATGTCACAGAGGGTAGGAAGTGCCATGCTCACGCCCCCACCCAAGGTAGTTTGGAGCCCACCTACTCAGTTCTGGAACCCACCTACCGTCTGCTATCTGGGGAGCAGTGGGGGGCCCTCAGCCCCTCCCTGGCCTTGTCTGTGTGGCAGCCCTCCTGTGCTCCCCTCTGTCTGCTCCTCCCTCTCCTCCCCATACTGCCTGGAGTACCTCCACCCCCACCCCTGCCCTCTGCTGGGAGAGAGAACCCAGCCAAGGCCCCACCAGGGGACAAGCAGCCATAGGGGGAAGCTGTGTAGAGAACACCAAAGGGGAAAAGAGACAGAGCTCAGCCTTTGCTGGGATTGAGGGACATGGACCGAGGACCACACTGAGAGGCCGACAGATGGGACAGAGAAGGAAGCTTCCAGAAAAAGCTATGTCAGCAGGCAGGCTTGAGTCCCCAAGACCTAAGGTTTAGTGGTGTTAATCACAGTAATAGACATTTTATATAACTATTTTGTTTCAGCCACTGGATTAGTTAGTATACCAACTTGAATCACTCTATAGATATCAGGGAGCTGGCTGTGCCGGAAGTGAGGGGACAGAGGAAGGCGGAGGCAGCCCGATGGAAGCGCAGGGAGGCCGAGGCCAGTGTGGGCGACTAAAGGGCCAAAGCAGGAAGAGCACTCCTCTGGGGAGAGGTGACTCCTGCCCCCCCATTCCACATTCCCCTGTGTGACCCTACCACCCGCTCAGCGGACAGAGCCACAGCTGTTCTTGTCCCCTCCCAACTCGGTTCTCCTGCACCCTGAGCTCGGAGCCGTGCCTCCTCCGCTCCCTGAGACCCTGGAGCCACCCTCCACACCCCAGCCCCTGAGTATCAGGAAGGTCCCTCCAGCCCCTCCCACCTCTCCCCTCACCTGTGGCCCCTGGGGAGGCCCTGAGCATCCAGAGGAGGCCGAGGAGCCCGAGCAGCTGCATGGGCCTGGTGGGCAGGGCAGCCCAAGGGGCTGGGGCAGAGCCAGCACCAGAACAGCGACAGCAGCAGGGAGTCAGCACCCAGGTCAGAGTGAAAGTGATGGTTACCTGCTCTGCTAGGCGTGATAGCCAAGCACAGCCTCACCTTTGCCCCACCCCACCTCACCCCTTTTCTCCCCACCCCCGAGTGCTGTGGGACACAAGCCTGGGGTGTCAGGCAGGAGAACAGTTGGTGGCCCAGCCCCCAGCCTGCCTGTCCCCAGGCGCCTTCCCTGGAGGCTGCCCTTCCTCCCCTCCCCACTCCCTCCCCCATGGAGATACACTTGGCCAGGGCTTGGACTCTGGAGTGTGGCCGGCTCCTGCAGCCTCTACTTAGTTTCGGTTCCTCCTGCTGGGGCCGGGGTAGAACTTGCTACTTGCTCTCCTCAACTCCCGCCTGTCCCTGTCTTGCTGTCTCCCCATCCTGCCAACAGCAGGACCCCACAGCCAGACAAAGTAACAGAAATCAATCAGAAGTCATTTTAAAATCTGAAGAGGCAAAGCAGGTCCCAGAATAGGAAATACAGATGACCAAAGGAAACAAACAAAAATACAAGTTTTGACTTAGCAAACTTTTTGACCTTCATAGATAACCAGTTGCTTCCTAGCAACCATTAGGAAGTTTGAGCCCATGCAGTCTGGGCACAGGTGTGAAGAAGAAATGTTCTTACCCAGCTGATGGGAGTGTGAGTGCGTTGGGTTGCTTTAAAAGGACAATTTGATGGGATCCATTAAAATTGTAAGTGCATGCCCTAGGACCGCCATCCCACCCTCCATCTCCGTGTCCAAAAAGCACCTCAAGGAGGCATTCACGAGGATGTTTATTGCTGACCACTTTATTGAAATTCCATTGGAAATTGGAAACAACCCAAATTGGATTGTTTCAATCCAGAAAGACTAGGGCTTAGTCAAGCTATGGAACACTGCTTAAGTCAGAAAGAATGGTATTATGATGGAGAGACACCCACAGTGTCTTGTTATGTGAAAGCGGTAACATAGTTTGGTTGGACACAGGACACACATACATATACATATATGTATAAGTGTTTTCACACTTTGGGAGGGGGGTCGCCTACCCAGCAGCAAGTTAGATTAGCTCTGAGAAGCAAGACAGGGAATTTTCGTCCTTTCTCAACTGTGCTAAGCCTTGGCCTGTGCAGATTTGAAGGAACACTGACGCACTTTCTAACAGCCCAAGCCCCCAGCCCTAGGATGACCTCAGCCTCCCTTAAAGTGCGTGCCTGAGAAAGTTCAAGGCTGCCAGAAGAAGTTCCTGGTTTTCCATGAACACCTGAGGACAGGGCCCTCCCAGCTTTGCAGCAGGGGAGGAGTCTAACTTCCATAAGGCAGATGGGTTTCCATAAGGGCCACCCCCTCTTCCTGCTTTTTGTGACTTTTCACTTCCCTGCCTCTACTGATCTCCCCACCCCCTCCCCATTTCCACTTTCTCCCTTTAAGACACTCCGTCACCTCTGTACAAGTCAAAGTTCAGTTCCCACTGATCCTTCCTGTTGCAGTAGTTACTATTGATTAAATCTGTCCTTGGCACTTTAGCTAGCCTCGGGCTTTGCTTATCTCTGACAACTTGGAGACTATGTTATGTGCTTGAAGGTAATGGAAAAATAACTTTAAACCTCAAATAAGGTGGGCTGCTGCCTCATCCGCTACAAAGCCCAAGTTCAGCCAAGACGTGACTTTCTCATGATGGGAATTCAGACCAGGAGGTGACCTCAGCCTTGGCACAGGGGGACACAACCAGAGAGCTTGTTGAGGGGAGCAGAGGGAACACGAGGGAGGTGCAGGAAAGACTACAGTCCCCAGGGAAGCATTTCAAGGCAGAGGGCAGAGTGCCAGCCTCACCACAATTGGGGGTTTCTCTGAAAAAACAAGAATATAAAATTAGGTCTGATCCTCACTCAGGGAAGAAGCTTTGCAGAGAGGAACGCTGCAAATCCTCTCTTCCCAGAGGGCCCGAGCCTGGGAAGGGCCAGGAGTTGCAAAGGCAGCCAGTGAACTCTGAAGCCTGGAGGTCCTTGAGGGGCTGTGGCTGTCCCTCTCACATCTTTGGGGTGTCCCTCTACCCCCCGCCGGCTTTATCCAGAGTTCCTGGAGGAATCCCAAAGGAAAGGCTTGGTGCATTCCCACCAAGCGATGGTGGCTGCTCCAAGATTGAAACCTGGGAAATACATGATATTGACCCGGCCGCAGAGGCTGTGCAGCCAAGTTGGGGAAGTAGGAATAAAAAGAGAAAGTGTCCAGATGAGGTAGTTGTGGCAGCCAAACAATGACATTACTGGCACAGCTCAGTGGTGATAGAAGACAGGGGTCTGGGCTGCTCTTAGGGTCCTACTTATCAATTCTGTAACACTTTTGACCAATTTGCCCAGTATTCAGATCTTTGTTTTCAAAAAGTTTTGTTGCCTGTGGTCCCAGCTGCTCAGAAGGCAGAAGCAGGAGGATTTCTCGAGCCCAGGAGTTTGAGGCTGCAGTCAGCTATGATGATGCCACGGCACTCCCGCCTGGGCAGCAGAGTGAGACTTTGTCTCTAAAAAAGAAAGAAAGAAAGAAAAGTGTTGTTACTGTTTTTCAGAGCAGTCTCCATGGAGACCACTGGAGTTGTGTGGCCAAGCCTCAGGGCTGCCCAAACAAAGCTGGGCTATCAAACACCATGAAATACTGTCACTGTGAGGGGAATGCAGACTTGAAGGGGTCCCTGTTGTAAGGAGCACCGGATTCCTGGGGAGCACCCTGCTCCCTCCCCTTCGCCCCTTCTCTTTCATGCCCCTCCTCCCCTCCAGCCACCAGGCCTCCTGGCCTCAGGCTTTGCCCACCTCCTACCCGGCAAATGCCCTCTCTATCTCCCTGCTGCTTCCTCTCAGCCTTGAAAATCCACCCATCCTGTACAGTTCTACACCCTCCTCACCTCTGCCAGGAAGGCAGGTGGAATCAGGGCGTGACTTCTCTCACTCTGAAATCGATGGTATTTTAATTACCAGTATCTGTCCCATGCCGCTGACTTAGGATTTACTGGCTGGGAGCACAGTCCTTTGAACGCCTGCCCAGAAAGGAGAGGGAAACATGACATCTTTGCACTCTGAGCTGGGGCAGTGGCCACTCTGCCTCCAGAGCCAGGGGAGCCCCAGCCCCACTCAGGGAGGAGGTGGACAAGCTGAGACTGCGGGGGATCCTCTTGCTGCTGTCCAGAAACACCCCCATGCCCACGTGGACGTGCGGGAGAAGACGGAAGGGAAAGAGTGCTCTACGGGGTTGAGAGGCGCTGCTGTGAGTGTCAGAGGCAGCCTGTCTGTAGGCTGCCCACGCACAGCTGAGACCCAGAGGTGGCTCCAGACATTAATGCAGTCCCAGCCAGAGCTCAAGACAGACAAGAGGGCTTCTGGGGAGAAGGAAGGGGCAGACGTAGCAAGACCAGAGCTGAGGCTGGAGCTGGTGGCCCAATCATCAGTGACACCCACCTGGCACCTCACTCCACAGTCAGGTGACACTAAGTGGGGTTCATGGGAAGTCAGTGGGGAGGCACTGGCCCATCTCCAAGGACTCACTGTCATCACAGGTACCTGCAGGAAGATGTAACTCCAGGAAAGTACAGGCTAGGACCATCTCTCAAATGTCAATATGTCTAGGGACAATATGTCAAAAGCAGGGCCAGAGAATAGGCCACTCCTTCTCCCCCACCCCTAGGAGTGGAGGCGGGGGGAGTTGGGAATGTTGGGCCACTGTGTGATTATCTGAATAGTAGCTGCAATTGTCACAGGCGGTGTCAGGTGCTGGGAGTCAGGGGAGCTGTCTCTGAAGTCATGGTTGGGGGAGTGTACTGGTTGGTAGGGGGCACTGATCTGCTACTGGCAGATGAAAAGCTGCTACTTGGCTTTGAGACCAAAGAGAGGGTTGGTGTAGCAGTCAGGAGGTGTCAGGTTATGCTGAGGTAACAAGCAATCCTAAAGGCTCTGTGGCTGACAATAGCAGAGGTTTATTTCTCACTCCTGCTACTTGGCCATCTCAATGTCTGTGCCTTGCTCCAACGCTGTTTTCACTCTGGGACCCAGGCTGGTGGACCACACCCTGTTGGGAACATTGCCAGTCTCAAGGCAGTTGAAAGCGATAGATGGCCAAACCACTAGCTGGCTCCCAAACCTTCTTTCCAGAGACAATGTGTGTCCCTTCCACCCACACTTTATTGGCCAAACCAAGTCACATGGTCACCCTGTGTATATTAATAAAATACTATCAGAGAGAGGCCCTGCAAGGCAGGCAGGGAGGTGCGATCCACCCCAGGGAGGGAAAGTAGTATTGTCAACAATAGCACAATCTAGGACAGCTGGGATCCTGGCAGGCTTATGCTAATCAAGGTTCCCTCAGTGACACTGGCAGGCAGGATGGAACCCCTGGTGGGTCTTTGTGTGCCCTGAAAATGGAGATGGTCTCTGAGATGCTAGAATTAATTAAGAGGCTCAGTTGGGGTGCTGGTGGGCTGAACCCAGGATTCAAGGATGTTGGAGAACTGCCTGGAGGTTAAGGAGAGTAAACCCCAGTACTGGAGAGATTGGACACTGTTGCATGTTAGGAAAGGGAAGTGTCCTCCCAGGACTGGGGAGATCTGGTGGGTGCTTCTACAAGTATTGGAAGTGGCTCCTGTCAATAGGAAGGAGGTAGTTGCAGCACAGGGTCCTTTGTCTAGACATGGGGAGGTGTGAGAAGCAGAGATGGTAACAACTGGTGTCACTTCTGGACACTTTGTAGAAGTGATGAGACAGTGACGTTTCGGTACTAGTAGGAGATGATAGAATGTGATATTTCACATCTTAAGATCAAGGTAGGGTAATATCGAGAAGAAAAATCAATTCACAGAGGAATATATGCAGTATAATAACTCTATATGAGTTTTTAAAAGGCTAATCTAAGCAATATTTTTATTAGGGGTACATATATATATATAGTAATACCACAAAGAAAATCAAAGTAGCTATTAATACAAAATTCAGGATAGCAGTTCTAAATTATATGATGTTTAATTTCCTAAGCTTGGTGATGGGTAAATGGACATTCTTTTTTATTCTTTAATCAGTTTGCATGTTTTCCACACTTTAGTATGCATAATATAGTTCTCAATAAAAAAATAATTGAAGGGACTAGACAGTAGCATCATATATTCTAAATAATCACCCACTCAAGCTATTTTTATCAAAATCAAAACTAAAACCAAAACCAAGACCAAGACAGGATGCTCACAGTTGACATTATTATTTCAACATTATTTGGGAAGGTTTTGGCTAATGTATAAGGCAAACATAAAAAGAAATATTTGGCATAAACAATAGAGAAAAGTTAAATTTTCCCATTTTTGCTGATGAAATTGTTGTATAAATAGAAAATCTAAAAGACGCTAGTTGGGGAAAAAAACTACTATATTAATGAGAGGCCTTGATAAGGTAGCTGGATATAAAATAAAATAAATAAATAATTTTCCATTCTAGAAATAACCAGCTAGAAATAGACATTGGAAGAAATGTTCCATTCACAATAGAAACTCAAGTGGATGAATATTTAGAGATAAATTTAACAGAAAGAACATATATTAGAAAATCTAAGGCTGGGCGTGGTGGCTCACGCTTGTAATCCTAGCACTCTGGGAGGCTGAGGTGGGCGGATTGCTCAAGGTCAGGAGATCAAAACCAGCCTGAGCGAGACCCCTTCTCTACTATAAAAAAATACCGAAGAATTATTGGCGCCATAATATATACTCTATATCAACAATCTAGGCCCGGCCATCGGTGGCTCGGTGCCCTGTATTCCAGCTTACTCGGGAGGTCTGAGCAGGAGGAGCTTGAGCCCATGAGTTTGAGGTGCTGTGAGCTAGGCTGACCGCCACGGCCACTCACTCTAGTCTAGGCAAGAAAGCGAGACTCTGTCTGGAAAAAAAAGAAAATCTATAACATTTTATACTCCATAGGCATAAGCTTTGAAGGCTGTCACCCCAAGTTCTCAGGTAATAAAGATTTTTCATAACACAAATATGTTACGTCTTTCTGAAGTAAATGTATACATTTCATGCAAGTTTAATTAAAATCACAACAGGGTTGAATTTTTAAAATGGCTACAATTACCATAAAGCTTATATAGAAAATAATATCTAAGAAATAGCATCAAACATTGTTGAAAAAAAAAAAACTAGAAAGGTTTGTCTTGTAATATGTTAAAACATACTTAAAAACTTAAAATTAAAACATGCGCCAGGCGTGGTGGTCTGCCTGTAATCCTAGCACTTTGGGAGGCTGAGGGCGGGCGGATTGCTTCAGGTCAGGAGTTCAAACCAGCCTGAGGAGACCCCGTCTCTACTAACAAATAGAAATAAATTACTTGGCCAAACTAAAATCTATATACAAAACATTAGCCCGGGCATGGTGCCTGGCTGTAGTCCCAGCTTCTTCGGGAGGCTGAGGCAGTAGGTTGCTCGGAGCCCCGGAGATTGAGTTGCCTGTGCCCAGGCTGATGCCCGGCCTCACTCTGCCTGGCAACACGTGAGACTCTGTCTCAAACAATAATAATAAACTAAATACTAAATAAAAAATAAAACATGCTATAAAACTACTGCAATCCACACAGTATGATACTGCCATAAGAATAAACAAGGGCGGGAGGGGTGGCTTTATGCTGTATCCCTAGCACTCTTGGAAGGCCAAGGAGGGAGCATCCCTTGAAGGTTCCGGAGTTCCCAGACGCCTGAGGCAAAGTCGAGAAACCCATTCCTACTCAAAAATAGAAACATTAGCCCGGGGTGGGTGGGTGCCACACCTCATAGTTCTACCTACTCAGCGAGGGCTTGCGGCAGGAGGATCACTCTTGAGCCCAGCGAGTTTGAGGGGTTGCCCTGTGGCCTAGGCTCGTGCCACACTCTACAACGCGGCCCGGGTCCAGAGTGAGTCCCTGTCCTTCAAAAAAAGAATAAACATAGTTCTGAAAAAGAATGGCAAATAACCCTCATAGATTTCCCTTATTTTCTTATCCACAAGGTGGAACTTAATTCAGATGAAAGAATGGCTTTCAATATATAACACACTGCCCTTATTACATTAGCGAAATAAAGTTGGATCTTTATCTTATAACATTAAATTTTGAAGCAAAGTTAATGAAAGACATAAGAAAAAAGACACTTAAAAATCCTAGAGGCCCGGGCGTGGGTGGCTACGCCTGTATCCCTAGCTTTGGGAGCGACGTGGTCCGGTTGGCTCGGTCGGAGGTTTCGAAACCAGCTGAACAAGAGGTCCCCGTCTCTACAATTAAAAAAAGTACAGAAAGAGACTTAAATTGGCCAACTAAATATATTTATAAAAAAATAGCCCGGGCATGGTGAGGCGGCTGCCTGTGTCCAGCCCTACCCTCCGGGAGGCTAGAGGCAGAAGTTGCATTGAGCCAGGGTTTGAGTTACGCCTGTTGAGTAGGCTAAGAACATACCATGGAAACCTCACAATCTAGCACTAGCCAACAAGCAGAAAACCTCTGTTCCAAAAAAAAAAAAAAAAAAAAAAAATCCTAAGAAAACATTTTTAGGGACTATATGTTCTAATTCTTGGAGGCTGAGGAGCCTATTATAATCAAAGCCAGAAGCCCAAAGGCCTATAAATAAAGTAAGACATAATCCTTAACTGCATACAGAAAGTACCTTTTAAAATAAATAATAATAAAAGTATTTTTATAGGGGACAATGCTCCAAAACATACAGAGTACCAAGAACTAAATTGGGGGAAATTATTGGCAAGCAAATGGATAGATAAAGGTTATTCTGTTATCAAATAGCATAGTAACATTTAATTTAAAAAAACCCAAGTTGTTCAACCCACCCATCATGAGCATATATAAATTCTATGCCTCCCATGAGATACTTTCACGGTTTTCCAACACATAATTTTGTTGGTATTTAAAGAAGTCTTGTGTATGTTTATAATATAGGTCACAGGTAAAATGTTTTTTCGATATAGTTTTGCCAACATTCTGTTTTTTTCCAATGTGAATATGTTTCTACTAAAGTTTTTTTTCTTTAATTCTCTCCTTCTCTCTTTTCTCCCTCTCTCTCTCTCTCTCCTTCCCTTGTTTGCACAAATCTTCAGGAACCTAAGTACAAAGGCTTTCGTCAAGTGGCACGCATTCTAGTTTTTCACTTTCATTATCTGCATTCATTTATCACCACTGCTTTCATGCAGTTCTCTGGAGAATTCAGTTCCATCACTGTGCTTTATGATTTAATCAAACCCCTAGCTGGAGAAAGAAAGGTAGGGGCAGGAGGGGGCGGGAAGGAGGGAGGCAGAGCCTTGCCGGTTTTCTTGTTTGCACATTATGCAATAATGGCTACCTCTGCTCCTAGGGGAACTTATAACCTCATCAGTTTAGTATGAGAACTTATCTCTCTTAGAAGGACGCCTCACATTAAATTAGAGATATAAATGCCCCACCTATTTATGGATTTAGCGTTTAAAAAAAACTCACAGAAAGCTTGTGACAACATTTCTTATATGGTAATTTATCAAGGCTTACATAAAAGGACACGCCCAGGTCAGCTTGA